GGGGGGGGGTAGCATATATATGTTTTTATATACATGTTGTCATACTTTGTAATATTGTATTACTATGTTATCACGTCGAGGAGGAGGAAGAAGACGCTCGACCTGATTCCTGGGATGAGACAGATGAGCCGAGTGCATCTTCCTCCATCAAGGAGGGTGTCCGAGCTTGCAGCCTTTGCTCCTACAATGCTGGTAGTTTTAGTATGCAGTCGAAAGGCTCTTTGCTGAGTTGGTTCTCGTTCTGGCATCTACTTCCTGTCTCTGTCCACAGGAGCCTCTGCGATCCAAGCCATCACTGATAGGCGGCCCAAGTACTTTGCGGCCTGCCTGGGCGCAGCAACGCGCCCCCGCGGCTCCAGCGCCGAAAGCCGTGGATGCTTGGGATTAGCTCAACAGCAGCAAGAAAAGTGAAGCGAGCATGCATCCTGGCTTCGCTGCCCAGGTAAGTGTCATTTTTAGGACATGATCCGCCTGACATGCCTTTCAATCTCTGTCTCTCTCTCTCCCTCTCCCTCTCGCTCTGTCTGTCTGTTTCTCTTTCTCTCTCCCTCCCTCTCTCCCTCTATCTCCACTTTAGGTTCATGGTTGTACAAATTTGTACACTTATGTATAGACAAACCTACATTTAAATTCAACATGAACAAATATGTACTGTATATATATATATATACACTTATATATACTTATATATACATAAACATATACACATACATACATAGATACATACAAGCATATGATACACATGCATACATGTATAATTGTACACGTTCTTCTATACATCTGTATATGCAGATAGCTAGCTCGATAGGTAGATCCAGGTAGATCGATAGACAGGCATGCAAGCATACGTGCATGCATACATACATATCGAGTTTCACGTTGGGTTTTTTCGTGGCACAGGTCGTGCGTTCTTGCAAGCCATGTTGGCCTCACTGTGCCCGGGGCCTTGTGCAACGTGTGTATGTATGCATATATATATATATAGATATGCATGTATGTACGCACGTATGTATATATATATATATCTATACATAAATATGTATATATATATATATATGTATGTGTGTGTGTGTGTTTGTCTGTCTGTATGTCTGTCTGTTTGTCAGTCCGTCTGTCCGTCTGTCCGTCTGTCCGTCCGTCGGTCCGTCTGTCTGTCTGTCTGTCCGTCCGTCTGTCTGTCTGTATGTATGTGTGTATGCGTAGTATGAATAAGTCAATAAACAAATAAACAAGCAAATATACAGATACATATATACATATAAACATATGCTTATATTTATATACATGCAAGTTAACATGTATATGTATGCATATCTACATGTACATATGTGGCCTAGTAAATATTTGCATACATACATGCATACATACATACAATCAGGCATAACGAGCTTGACTTTTGTTTGTTCGTGGCACAGGCCGGGTGTTCTTGCAAGCAGTGCTGGTCTCACTGCGCCGGAGCCTTAGAGCTTGCTCTCCTGTCTCTCTCCTTGAACAGAACAAGTGGACTATATTTTGTTTCGTTGACTCCCTGCACCCTAGAACCTAGAGCCTCCGAGTGTGAGTGTCAAAAAAGCTCCAAACCTGGGTTGTTAGAAGGTGAAGTTCTGAAACCCGATCGTGAGAAATTGTGAGCTCGAAATCCTTACTGCGTTGTCTTGGAGGTGTAGCAAGATGCAGTGGTGGGAGCAAGCGCTTGTGCTCTTCTTTGGCATGCAGGCCTTGGGAAGCCATGCTAGGTGGTGTGATGGTTAGTCCAGAACTCACTTCTACCCATGGTGTTGGGCTTGTGCCGGTAAGATGGAGTTTGCTGTCCCAGCTCTTGAAGGGCTCTCTTATCGTGGGGATCATCTGCCGCGAAACATGGAATGAATCCGGCAGGAAAGATGTTCTCGAAGAAAGATCGGTATCTTCTCCTCTTTGCTGCAGGCTTCCACAGTACCACCTGATGCGGTGTGTCACAGCACGCTGGTCAACTGCCTCGGGCCCACGCCTCAATCTTCGCATGGCATAGACAATGTCGACTAGTCTCCTCGTTTCAGGTTGAAGATAGGGTTTTCTGTCCCTGTGTAATGATAGTACAGCAGCCGTTTAGTACGTCACTTGCCTCCTAAGGTACACGCACGAAGTCGAACCCGTAGCACTACGCCCGAGTTGGGTAGTGGTAGAGCAGCATGTGCGTCATGGTGTGTGTGTCATGATAATCGGGCAGATTGGCACGAGCTGCGACACACCGTTGAAGGGGTTTGCGATGGTCTCGGTTGGGTTGTGTTTGGGTGCTCTGGCAGCTGGACGGCTCTCTCGTTATGCCTGTGGCTGCTGAGAAATGTCGTCAATGCTTGTTTGCACCGCGCGAGGGTGAGAGTCGAAACCCTAATATAAAACCCGAAACTCTTCACCTCTGGACACGACAGCCGATGAACACTCTACCCCCCAATCCCGAGTGCATGTATGGACACATACATGGTGAAGCTCAGGTCTGCGGGTCGCTGGCAGATAGCCGCCGACTGAGGTGATGTGCACATTGGTTCAAGTAAATTCGTGCTACTGACTTCGGCACAAAAAACTACACGAGAGAGTACTAAAAACCTTTCCGGCAAGAGTCCAGTGTAGTTTTGTTACGTGTGCTTCGGTCCTTCGGTCCAGCCACTCAATGCTCCAAGTACACCAGTGCCCAAGTGCTACCTGGCTTGAGGTTGGAAGTCTTCTAGTCTGCTCGTCTCTTTGCGACTCAGATCCTCAGATCCCTTTATTGCAAGAAACTGGTCCAGCTAGGGGGTCTTGAAGGATCAAGCAGATGCTAGATGCTCAGATTTGAGACGCCTCTCGGTGTGTTTGAAGCAGAACTCAAAGCATTTTCGAAGCTCAATCGCCGCCGAGGCGCTGCACCTGTTTCACGATGTTCGTGGCCCAGCATCGGCAAGCTTACATACAGCTAGCAAGCCTGACAACAAGGCATGCTGACGCAGCCGCAGTCAGTTAGGGGGTGCAACAACCAGAAGTTCTAGCCACTGACATAGTACATTCAAGTCAGGGCACTTATCGTGAACCCTTTAAGGTGCCTCGCGTATCTGGGTGGCTTTTCATAGTCGTGGTCAGGGGTTCGTGTGCTGGTATCATTTCGACAAAAAACCTATGGATCCTCGCCTGGCATGTCCGAGTTGTGAGAGCGTAAGGTCCCTCGCAGTACCCTTACAGAAACCCTTAAAGATCTCTCATAGTAAGCTTGCTCTACTCATGCAGGCACGTATACACCCAAAAGCCTAAAGCCCTTACAAGAACCCTTATTATAAACTCTTCCGATTCTAATCGGTGTCCCGTTTTAATCCCTATCAAGTATACTACAATATTATTAAGTCCTCAAGAATGGGTCGGCTCTAGGCACTGTCGGCGCTCGATGATGACATGCTGGGTCGCCCAACCAGTGCCGCCCTCTGAGCAGCTGGCGACACATTTTAGGGGGCTTTGATAGTCAGACTAGGGTGACCACAACGGATTATAAGAGCTCTGCATCAGGTACCACAGGGGATCTATAGGGGTTTGTGAGGGGGCCTTGAAAGGTATAACAGAGTCTGGCAGTATGCCGTAGCAGTAAAGGGACAATCGCCTCTCGGCAGGTCGCTTGCACGAACGACCCGACCTGCCCCTTTGTTGAAATGCCTTGATGTCCGCTCGTTGTTGAGGGTTTACTGTAGGGTGTACGGTGACTTGGTGACCCATTCGCTGGAGGTGGAGATTCATTGCCTTTGGACGTTCGGCACCTACCACGGGAACCACGCACATCTGGTCTTTCCGCAGTGTTTCGGGAACACTTGCTTGAGTCTTGGGGCACCTGCCCGGCTCAGGTCTTCGTAGCCAATGCTGCCGCGAGCTTGAGTGGTCAGTCGGTGGGGCTGGCATCCTGCTTCCTGATCTGTTGTCTCGTCGGTTTCTTGTCGGTGCACCGATGGCCTGGCCATCTTCATGCGACTTTTTTTTGCATGTGCAGTACGTGAGGATAGGGAGAAAGACTGCAATGCGCACGTCGCTGCTGCGATGCTGCATGTTTTCTCAGCGAGTTGGGAAAACGTCTGCATGATCACCCTGCACGTGCTCATGTCCATCCTTCGTGTTTGCTTGTTGTGTAAGGCCATGAGCGCGTGCGAAAGGTCATTGCAGTGGCAGTGGGCGATTGCCTCGGGCGGTCTCAGAGCAGTTTAGTAAGTAGGCCTCGAAGAGTGTAAGGCGTGGTCCTGGTTGACATTTGGTAGGCTGTATGCTGGAAGTTCAGGAAGTGCCTCACCTTCCTTAAGGCTTTGCAGCTGATGGATGCAGCTTTCTCCAGCCGGCAGCTAGATTTCAGCGATGGACCCCAGATGGTGTAAGCCTTGCTTCGAGCTTCCGATTCTGACAGCTGCAGTGTAAATTACGAGTAGCCCAAAAGGTGTCGTGCTGCAATGCATGCACGTGTGTGCGTCTGCCGGTATGTATCGATTTCCTGAGGCCCAGACACAGTCACATTCAACGTCGCCCTGGCATCCTGGGGACAGGGTCAGCTCGACAGTGCGGCAGGGGAATCCGGGTCCTGAGGCTACTCTTGGGCTTCTGCAACGTTTCATTTACTTAATTATATTAAGGGTTCTATTAAAGCCTGTAAGTAAGGCTAAGTAAGGGAACTTTCGCATTCAGCGGGAAGCTCGCTTCAAGAACATGTCAGGCGGACGTGCGTGGAGGACGTTACAAACTGAGTCCCGTCCCCTTTTTCGTCTCTCGATGTCTGCAACTTACATTCAGTGTGTCGTGTTTAGGCTGTTTAGGTTTTCGCTTTGCATTTCACGACCTACCATACGGCATTGAATGCGAACTACGTGCCGAGCATGCTGCCGTGTGGTGTAGACTGCCTGATCGGATGCAACGACATGTGCACTTCCTTGTCACTCATTCCATGGGAGAACTGAGTTCGAATCTCCAGACCCATGCACTGCTGCCACTGGGCCATCACTGCTAATTCAAGCCGGGTGACCCAAGCCACCAGCGCAGCCTTTGTTCCTGTAGCAGGTCACGCCAGGTCTAGAATTTAGAAGCGGTGATTTGGAATGTTATAAGCCGAGATCAGTAAATTCTCTGCGGGCTGAGCACGTAAACCCCAGACCGCATACTAACCTTCTGTGACAGGAAGACATTGGGACCGAGCCCTGCTGATACTTGTGCTCGACTCAGAGTTTACCTCGCGACTAGTTGCGCTGGCAATTGCAAGGTGAGGACTACGGATGCCGTACTCCTGCTTATCTTGGGGATGACGATAAAGATTTGGATTGTGTTGAAACATGTCTACAGTCAGCAGCTTGCCATTGATGTGGCGACTGTTATTGGTATAGCCCTCTGGCCCACTTGCGGGGCAATGGTCATGTGTTGTACGCCTTCGGAAGACTTTCTGTTCCTCTATCTGCGTGGATAGGACCGATCCGGGCAGTGTCGAGGACAGCTTTGGTTCACAAGGCCCAATCGAAGCATGAGAATTTTTCGCGTTCATCGACAGGGCGGAGTTTTTTACATGCTGGTTTTCTTTGGGCACCCGAAACGCGCCTCGTGGCCATTTGGCTCCGAAAGCTTGGGTACTTCACGAAGTAGGATTGTACCCAAAGCACCTGCTGAGAGCAGACCTCCGGACTCTGGACTCCGCACCAAAGTCAACCAATGCACTTCACACCGAGACAACCTTCCTGGCCAGGTACAAACCCTGATCCACAGGCAGTCCTCACTTTAGTGCCGGAGGTCAGCAAACGTTTCACAGCCCCTCGATTTTACTGATTTTGAGGTTGTCCCAGGCCTGCGGTAGTTCTGTTGGGACGATGGGGCCGGGATGCCGAAGTGCCTTTTGTTGACATGTTTCTGCCTCGTATCATCAGTGATCTCTGATGGTGTGAAGTATGTATGCCAGATGCCCCATGAGTGACTACCAAGGACTTACAGAATGCAAGGCTCAAGAACAGTTCGTTGTGGCACTGCCTGGACACGGCATGAGGAACCTGAGTCGGAAAGACGCCTGAAGAGCCAGGGCAAGACGAGCGATACTTCTGTGTAGCTTCTGCCACAAGCTCGATGTCTCCAAACCTGGTAACCTGAAGCAGTCTGCAAGAGTGCTTGACACTGCACAAAAGCATAGAACTCACGCCGCTGTGGAAAGCAGACTCCTGTCAGGCAGGCATGGAGTCTGCCGGCAACCTTAAGCAAGAGACCTTTGCTTATGCAGAAGCTGTGGCTTGGCGGCACTGCGGGGGTTCATTATCTATTAGGGCTTCGGTTTTCGGGGCTCAGGGGTACGACTAGCAGCTTTTGATGCAACCGTGATTCGGTCGCTACATCTGCCGTGATGAGGGTGACGGCTAGTCGCATATACTAGCCTGGTAGCAGGACCAGGAGCACTTGTCGTCGCCAGTGCTTGTCGCAGTTCACCACTAGGAGAATAGCGAGAATACTTGTGTTTATCCAATGTATTTTCGGAGGTTGCATGACTGTGATGAAGGTATCCTGTTTGGACCTACCGGTTGGGTCCCAGCACAGACGTGAACAGACGTGCTTGACTGTCATTGCTAAATTCTGCGTGTTGCTGCCACAGCTGCAACGGTTCCTGCCAGTCTTCAACGAAGGTCTGGCGAGTTTTGGTGTTGTTTCGATTTCGCACGCCTCTGCTTCATGCATGCGCATGTTCTCGACACATCCGAGGTGGCAAAGAGCCGAGCTCCCAGTGATGTGACATGAGCTGCTGTGGAGCAGTGCTCAGGGCCCACTGATGAGCATGACGGATTGATACTGTTGTCTTGCTGACATCGCATTGCTGCAGCAGTGACGACGCTGACGGCCACTATAGCATCACTGCCAAAGCTTCTTACAGCTGTTGACAGCACGACAGCTAGTGAAAGCAGTGTTCCTGCTTAGCTTCTCTGAGGGCCTGTTGCGAATTACTCTCTGCTGCAACTACGACTAAGACGAGGACGACTACCACCACTTCTACGAGTGATAAGATTTTGCACACCAATGGCAGCATTGTCGGCCGCATGTCGCCACTACCGCCGACGGCGCACAGCAATGGCAGAACAGTTCTCTGCGCACCAAATACACAGTTCACACTGTGCGCTCGTAAAGCCCTTCAGTCGGTCACCTGGAAGGTACTATCCTCAAAAACATGATTCTAGCTAGCGCCAGGCCCCGACAGTCTAACCACCTCCCTGCTGCTGACTTGCATATCCAGGCATGCACCTGCTGCTAGAGACCATGGAGCAACGCTTCCAGGACCGATCTGTCGCATGAAATTTGCTCGACTGCTCCAGTTCAGAAACGCCGTAAGGCATCAGCCCCACACCGCCTTCTGGCCAGGGATTGCCAGGCATATGCACCCCTTAGCCGACCTGCAATACTGCAATACTTCGTACTTTCTGAAAGATGCCGTCTGGACCATGCCCGAAGGTCAGAAATCAAGTGAGTGACAAACGGAGTTTATTATCCTACCACTCGGCCTTTCCGATCAGTGACTCTTCAATATGTCTAGCCTCTCTCGTCCGTACCATTGTCACTGTTTGGAAGATGAGTAATAACTGTCAGGTCGCTGACGGCGGCAATAATATCGAATCTCTTCACGGGTAAGATGTATGCAGCTGCATGTCTATATATGTGTATGTACGTATGTCGGTGTATGCGTTTATGTATGGATGTGTGGACGTGCATTGCCGGATCGTGGTACGTGCACGTGCCTGTGTATATGCACATTTCAACACGTTGCAAATCCTGCTGCCCTGCAGGGGATGTCTTCGACCACTGGAGCCATCTTCCCCAAGGACTTGGCAATCCGTCATTGTCCGCGTTTTTGCATACACAGGCTAGTTCAAGTTTTGCACAGCAGTCAATGGGCACTTGATGGATGTTTTGTGTAGAGGGAGTTTGAACCAGGACCCGGGCATGAATCACAAAGGAGCTCGATGCCATACACGCCCACCAGCACGAACCCATCAGTTTAGTCCTGGTTGCTGTCCATCAAGCGTAAGCAGACAGGGCGAGGATGAGTCCTTACGCTTCTGGAACTCCTTACAGGAGCTTCAGAAATCGTCTTGGGACTTGAAAACGCTTCTGAACACCTACACAATGCAGCAGCCTGCCCGCAAGATGGGGATGCCTCTCAGTGGTACAAGAGCTCCATTGCTTTTACTGGAAAAGTCTTGTTAACCGTTACCTTTCAGGCGTCGTTGTGCTCGTGCAGCAGTAGAAAACCATACTTCCGCAAAGCATCGTGACGGTGTTCTTACTTTTCGAGAGTTCCTGGTGGGAGAATACAGCAGGGTGTCTCCACATGTTGGGTGGTGCTTTCTCGACACAGTGCCACAGTGCAGGCGAAGCCGCCACAGCAAATCGCTTGCAGGTGACAGCAAAGGCAGGAGTCATCCTGCGCAGAAATGCAGTGATGTTTCTGCTCAACGAGAACCTTACATTCGATCGGCAATCACAGGGAGTCTTTATATAAAGCTGATACGCTGAGGCTCGAGCGACTGAGAGCCAGCTCGTCACCAAGTGCGGGCCCAGGGCAACTGGAGAGAATAGCTCTGGAGTTTGGAAGATCGGTATTTCTTCATCCTGCTCCCATCAGCTGCGGGCACATCTGCAAGTCTGCGAACGCCTGTCTTCCTGGAATCTGTTCTTCTTGCGCCGGCATCTGTGCGAGTGGGTGCTGTTGTTCGTGACTGTACCATTCAAGATAAATACTATTCTGCATTGAGATGTGCTCATGCACAATGGTAGACCTATGTGCGGCGCTTAGCTACATACGTGCGTAAAACATGGTTTTCTTGGTTCTTGATGGCATTCTTCTCAGTGTTCCTCTAGGTATCCAGATTGGTGTTCTTGTTCAAGAGGCTATTATCGTCCCCATTGTTTGTGTCAGCAGCGAGGTTGCATTCTGTTTTGGTTAAACTCATGCTGTCATCTTTACATCCGCGCTGCACTGGAGCGTGAAAAAATGCAGCACGAGCTTCTGAAGCTCACCCTGCGGCAACAGCCAGAGCCTTTCAGTCCCTGAACCCCGGCCCCTACCCGAGAATTTGAGATTGAGGCCCACCAGCAGAAGATGCAGGCCGAAAGGGAGGGCCAAGCCAGTTGGAGTCAGTCTGTGGCCACTTCCTGTAGCTTTTGTCTTAGCAAACCCATAAACCCTAATGTCGCCCTGGCTTCGATCAGGTGACTCTCCTGAATGGATTTTCCCGATGGCTTATTGACGTTTCTGAATGTCGTCCTGTAGAGTGCTTCGTTTTTGGCCCTGCGTTGTTTTTTGGTGTGCTTTGTCCTGTCTGCTAATGATTCTGCTAATGGTCAATCTTAGTTAATTGCGTAGAGGATCTGGAGAACAGAGATGCTTGAGGCTTGATTTCCAAGGCACTTCCGAAGTTCCAAACCACCAGTCCCTGCTAAACCCTTCTAGTTCAGCCCACCTAGACCCCAATCGAGCCCTACTGTACTAGTGTACATTGTATACATTGCAACTACTTGTTGCTGTAGTATGTTAATCATTACTATATTTGTTTGCCACGAGTGTATTTATGTGCCACTAGACGGGGACAGAGGGGTCTGCGACAAGCGGGGATCGCACTATCGAGGTCTGGGGGACATGTTTGGGGGTGCCCCCCCCCCTTACCCTACCCCTAATCCTGGACTGATTGCGTTGCTAATGCCCAAATCCCTAAACCCCTTCATTGCTTCGCCCGCCTGGAGAGCTGGAGTCATGATTTTCATCGGTTTCGAAGATCTCCCGTACAAGTACTCACGCGGAGTGTAAGGATTACTCACAAGTCTGGAAGAGCTAAGTCGCAGCTAAGGTTATCATGCAGAGGAAATTAGGGTTTTGGGGAGGGTCAGATTGCTCGAGTTCAGCTGGTGAAACACACATGTAAGATCCTGTAAGATCATATGTTGCTGGTCCTCAGATCTTCGCACCTACGAGTCGGCGGGTCATGAGCTCTTTGCAGATCCAACGAGACATCCGAGCTTGTTGGGCAACTCGCACGTTCTGAACCTGGGTCATTCTGGTAAGAGTTTGCCAGAACTACAGCAAAAAGCCTCTCTCTCTCTCTCACTCTCTTATATATATACATTTATTTATTTGTTTATTTATGTAAAGAAAGATGCCGCGTTCACCACTGAAGGCATGGAAATCCTGAAAACG